GCGGGACCACAGCCACAGTAACACTTCTGGAGGGAAGACAATGAGGGGCCCAAGAGCCTGAAACAAGGCCCAGGTCCGAACCCGGGACGGAAACAGAAGGTAAAACCCCCAGATCACCAGGAAACCAAACCCAGCGATCTGGAAAGAACCATCCCCTGGCGAGCAGACAAGCGGACTGACTGGGAGCCCACTCCAGCCAGTCGTCGAGGTAGGCCAGACACCGAATCTCAGACGCAGACAGGGCACTAAGATCCGGTAAAGATGCAAAGAGTATACAAAGTGCCCTTCACAAAATAGGGAATGCAATAAAAACAGCAAACCTGAAAGCCCCACCACCAAAGCATTGTATGACAATCATATGAAGACATATTATGACATATGACAATCATTATATGACAATATGACAATTATAATTAAAGCATTATATGACAGAGTGCTGGGAAGACGGGACACCACGAGAGTAGCTCTCATCCTGTAACTACACTTAGGTAAGTACACATAGGTAATTACCAACCGTGCTAGCCCCAGAAAAACTGGAGAGGAACGTGCCAAGAAGTGGCCTGGAGGTCCAGGTCCACCATCCATGCACCCGGCCCTAACAGAATCCGAACAGGAGACAACAGTCCTCCGAGCAGGGCAGAGGATCCAGGGCGCAGACGGAAGTAGTCCAGAAGAACTGCAGACTGGAAAAGCTCACGACTGCAAAGAGCAGACGGGAAAAACTCATGACTGCAAAGAGCAGACGGGAAGCCCAGAAGGATGGGGCGGATCGACCACGCCCCACGCACCCACGAAGAGGAAATGACGAAGCGCAGGGAAGAAGCCCACCCCGCCAGCTCTGAACCCCCCCCAAGGGGGAGAAGCCGTCCTCCGACGCCAGCAGAGGCCGGAAGACAACCCAAAGCGCCCACCAACAGCGGGACCAAGCGAGAGGCAACAGAGCAAGCCGCTCCCCCAGTGCCCAGTCAACAGAGAAGGGAACAGAACCCCTTCAGAAAGAAAAAGTACACTACCGAAGTCATGAGGAGAGACTACGGGAATGAAACCACACTTCGCTGGAAGAGGAAGTGAGGGGAGACCTGATCACCACATACAAGATACCCAAGGGAATCGACAGGGTTGAGAAGGACAGGATATGTAACACAAGGGGCACACGCACTAGGGGACACAGGTGGAAACTGAGTACCCAAAAGAGCCACAGATAGAGTTTTTTTTTTTTTTTTTTTTTTTTTTTTTTTGAGTGTCAGAATGGGAACAGGAAAGCACTAAGAAGTAATGTGGCGACTCCTCACACAAGTAACGAGGCTGACCCCCATACAATGTCACATGTAGACATGACAGAGCCCAAGAGGCACAGGAACCGATACACCTGTTGACGGACGGTTGAGAGGCAGGACCAAGGAGCCAGAGCTCAACCCCCACAAGCACAACTAGGTGAGGACATATATTGTAAAAGCACAAGCCGCCGACTAGTGGCAAAGAGCACTACGCCGGCCAGGCAAAGAAGGCACAAAACTGCATCAAAAGGCCCACCTCGACAGCAAAACCACAAAGTCCCAGCACAAGTAGAACCGGGTCACTCGAGGAAACAAAGTCCCCTGAACCCACAAAAGGGGGCCCAAGAGGAAGAAACCTCCAGAACGAAACCAAGGAACCCAAAGGAACCCAGAATCGAACCAGGGGGAGCCCAAACCACCACATTTGCCGGCGGAGAACACCACTAAAAGGCAAAGCACAGACCCCAGCAGAACGCCCTGGGAAAACGGTCCCAACAGACCGAAAACCGAGGGGCAAGGTGTGGGAGCAAGCATACCAGCCAGGGGCACTGAGCCTAAACCCAGAGGCTCAGACCCAAAATCAACACCCAAACGTTCCCAGAGGAACAGGCAACGGCAAGAAAACACCAGAAAACAAAGAAACGACAACAGGAGAACAAAAACCCTGCAAATTTTTTGAAAACTCACCAGAGACGCTCGCTCGCACACCCAGACGCATGTAAACAAACCGCAACGCCGCCCTGGTGGCCACGCCGGGAAACCGGCAGACGAAAATGGCCGCCAGCAGGGGCTGTGACTGACGCTTAATACACAAAAACACGCCAGCAAATGTGGGAAGCTAGCAGACTGGAAGAGCGAAAAACGACACCCAACAGCAGAAAAAACCCCTGAAGGGGCAAAACCGCCCCAGAACTGCTAGTAGGCATCCCCCACAGCCCCGGGAACCAACAACAGAGGCCCCGGGGCAGAGCCGGCCTCCAAGCCCTCCGCCCGTAAAGAAAAGCAAGAGCCCATGGGAAAGGCAACAAGAAAGGGCCGCTGGTAAGACCCAGAAGCCTTGGCAGGAGGCACAGACTCAAACCTCCGTCCCCAACCCGAACGGGGCATCCCCCGAAAACCGCCCGAGTCTCTGCCGCAACTGAACCCCGCCCCGACCCAGAACACGCAGACGGTCCGGAGCCGGGAACATGGAGAGAAAGGGGCGAGCAGCACCTAACCAAACGGGGCGGCCACGGGGCATTCGAGTGGGAAACCAACCTAGCATGTTGCAACAACCTAACCTAGCTTGCAACACGGATGCCGCCTGTACTCTGAACAGTAATAACATCAGGAGAGTACTGGAGAACAAGCAGAGAATCACTCGCAAGACTCCGGGTCAAGGTGTCAGTGACCCAACAGGCAGCATGACGGAGGTAAAAATGGCGACTGTCACCCGGAGACAAGGGAACAGCAACCAACGATCCCGTACAAGACGGGTTGGAACCCGGAAGACACATTCAATGGTCCCCCGAGCCCAGACAGGGGTTTCCAGGGCCCGTAGGGTAACAACTACGGGAAGCCCGGGCAAGGTGTTGCTAACCGGTTAAGAAACCCAAACATAACAAGAGGGTAGATTATAGCACTGAAAACCCCCGAGACGTGTACAAGCACGGGGGCCTAGCAGAGGGCCGCCAAACACTACCAGTGGAACTATAACCACCTTAGGCAGACCCCCACCAGGCAAGAAAATGAAAAACAAAAGAAAAACCCCGCAAAAGTACACCGTCTCCAGAGGCAACAGAAACCGGCCGCCGCTTAGGTGGCAGGCTGCGCAACACCTTGACGCCCTAACCAGCACAATACCAATCCCTACCCAGGGCCAAACAAGGGCCCCAAGCCCCAGCTGGCCCCAAGGGCGAGGCAAATGCCGAGCAGCAAGAACCTCTACGGGAATGGTTCCCGAACGCCCCAGGGAAGATAACCCTGTAACGCAAGGGCAGTACTCACAGGGCGCTTAGGGAAGTCAGCCACTAAGCACATGCAGCCCCGGCACTGATGAAGTACTCCTGGCCACCGCACACCACAACACACGGCAGTGAACGCCACACAAGGCAAACACCGCCTAGGAAACTGAGGCCAGAGAAGCGTCAATCCCGGTTGACATTAGCGAACGAACTGGAGCTTGGCAGCCGGCGCGGTAGGTCCGGGGCTCCCCCCTCCCCCTCCCGGGGTGGGGAGGGCTGCGCGGACGATCGGCGCGGCAGTAAAGTGTGATGTTTGCTTGTTTGCTTGTTTCCTTGGGATTGTAGGGAGTTTTCTACCTCTCTGTTCGGTTTTTGTTGTAGTTTCTTACCATGTGGGGTTTGTTTTGTTACACCTACCTTTCTGGGTGCCTAACCCCGGTCGATGGCAGATAAGGAAAACCCCCAACCATATGGGGTTTTCCAGGGCCATTGCTCCCTGAAACCTCTCTGAAGGGGCCAGGTTCTGGCGCTGGTCCCTGGTAGGTCTGAACTCCTTAGCTAATGTCCCGGTCTAACATAACACACATTAGCCCGATAAGCTCCAGGGAGCCGTAGGGGCTCCCCACAGAAAATGTATTTGTATGTTAATATTTTGGAGGGTGGGGAATGGATTAATTCAAATCCCCTTATTTCTTATGGGAAAAATCGCTTCGACTTACGATCCGTCTCTGGGAACGGATTAGCATCGTAAGTCGCGTAAGTCGAGGCCCCATTGTATAAGCTGAACCCCTGCGACGTGTGCAAGAACAGGGACCTAGTGGAGGGCCACCAAAATCCTACAAGTGGTCCTACTGCCACACCAGGCAGACCCCCGCCAGGCAAAACTAAACAAAAATAAAAGAAAAACCCAGCAAAAGCACAACGTCTCCAGGGGAACAGAACCGGTTGCTATGCGTATATCAGACAGCTGCACAGTACCTTGCGCCCCTGCCAGCAACGAAACTACCTGCTACCCAAGGGAAAACAGGAACAAGAACCACCCTAGCTGAACCCCAAGGGCGGGCAATCACCGAGAAGCAACAGAACCAAGCGGAGGTAGTTCCCGAATGGTTCAGGGAAGATAACCCTGAAGCCGCAAGGGCAGTACTTACAGGGCACCTAGGGAAGGTGGCGCTAGGTGCATGCAGCCCCCAGTACTCTTGTGTTACTCCTGGCTCGCATGATACCAAAACTGAACACCACCACCACACTGCAGCACTTCTCAAAGGATGGAGCCAGAGTCGATCAACTGTTCACCCTCACAACAACCTGTGAACTGAGGAGAGTTGCCGGCGTGGAGGTCTGGGACCCCCCTGTCCCCCTCCTGGGGAGGGGGGGGTTGTGCAGACAGATGTGCGGCATTTGTGGAGACGTCATACTAGTTTTCTTGGTTTTGATTGGGGAGTTCTGTTGCTAGTTCTGCTTTCGGTTTGCAAATTATTTGATCAGCAATAATTTGTTTTGGAATTCTTACCTTTCTGGGTGCCTGAACCTGGTAGATGGCAGACAATGACTGTTCCCAATAACATGGGGGGTGTCTTTAGGCCATTGCTCCTCGTGCCTCTCTTGAGGGGGGCCAGGTTCTGGCTCTGGTCCCCGGCAGGCCTAGAATTCCTTTGACTGACTGTTGCCACGGTCTAATATATACACATCAGTCCGGTATAGCTCCGGGGAGCCGAAGGGCTCTCCACAGAAAAGAGTATACTGTATACTGTACTGTATTTTTCTGCGTTTAACTTACCCTAGCTATAAAGTTGTCTTTTCGAGGGTTTGGGAAAGGGGCAAATTTGCGATATATATGTCCAATCCTGGAGCATGGAGCATCAACCATAGTGCCATGGCACTGCCATACTTTGAAAGACAACTCGTACTGTTCTCCTCCCCAAATGTCCAGACCTGGGTCATACCCACCCAGTTCCCAAAAGAACTTGGAGCTTATTGCAAACAATCCACCAGCCATGACTGGACTCCTGTTGAAGTAAAAAATAATTTGACTTATACTGTATATTTTTATAAACAATATATTCAACCAACATATCTTCCTGTTTACTTTTGAGACCACATAGTCCATTAAATTTCTATATCTTTGGTGTCTTCCTCTTTCATGAAGATCACTTTCTTGAGAATGTAACTTCATGTAGTCTTAACCATATATTTTAACCATACTGTACCTACTAATCTTTGTCAAATTTTCTTACAATGTACCTGTTTACATTTCTTAATTTTGCTAGAAATTATGCACCTACTTAAATTATGCACCTACTTAAAATTATTTGTTAGATTAAAAAGGACCTGCCCGACATAGAATGCGTGTTAGTGGCTTTACAAGAATGTAAAAACATCAGTGCTTTGTACTCTCATAAACCCAATGTACCTTCTTGTATATATATAAATAAATAATTTAATAAATAAATAAATAAAAAATAAAAAATAACTAATAAAGAAAAAACAAACTATTTTTAGTCATTAACAGCTTTCAGAGGATCACTCACAACATATGTGAAGCAGGCACTATGTAAATCAGCCCAGAAATAAAATTGAACAAAAGAATAAAAATCACTGTAAAATAAAACTGACTGAAAAATATTTAATGAAAAAACTGAAATTAAGAAGAGATCTTTCAGTATCTTTAATTACCATTTACAATGCTTTACCCCTTTTGTCTAGTCGTTAGATGAATTTGTATAACATGCTCAGATGCTCTTAAGTACTACTAGAGCTTATAACAATAAGATATTGTACTACAGTTTACTTAATGTGAATTAGCACATACTTTATCAGTAATTTATGAACTTTGTTGATTCAAGCATCACAACAGTCTGGAATCTGTCACTTGTTTTTTTCCTCGTTGCTTTCATCCTTTATATGTTTTGCCTTGAGAATGACTTCAGACTGTGTACTATGGAGGAATTATGAATGAGGATGTGGGAATGAATGAATGAATGAATGAATGAATGAATGAATGAATGAATGAATGAATGAATGAATGAATGAATGAATGAATGAATGAATGAATGAATGAATGGAGGCCCAGAACTTAGTAAATTAGGTTACAGGAATGTAAAATAATGATAAAGCATTCCAACACAATGAAAGAAGCAATCCATTCTGACTCACAATATGCAAATTTGACACACTACAGTACTTACTATGGAATATAATAAAATTGTAATTACAGTACTTGAGCATAGTTACATAATGAGAGTCATGCTTGTGGTGATATTTCTGAGTTGTGTATTTCTGGGAATATACTTATTGCTGTCTCTGAAAGCACAGATATAAAATGATTTATAAAAACATACTTGAAGGGTTCAGGCATGTTAGCCTCATCCTCTGGCAACACTGGCAATCTCTTGTAGTAAAATTCCCAGTCAAAGGCACCGCGACGTCCTTCATCCTGAGCCCGGTACTCAAATGTTTCAAAATCAACCACATCGATGAAAGGACAAACTGCAGTCTTATAATTATTTGCAATTGGTTCTGAAAAAAAAACAGTGTTGAATGTAATGAAACGCCATTTTCTGGGTGAGCCTTGAAGGCTTCGTGAAATTATAAAACTGGCATGTGCCATATTAGTTTGGTGCCATCAATCCCTCGAGTTCTATGCTGCCTGAGCCCAACAGGGTTTTCCAGGCCCATAGGGTACGTTAGCCCTACGGGAAGCCCAGGCACTAGGACCAGCTAAGCTGGTAACCCGTCTGCTGCAAGAAAACTGACACTCAGTGGTCGCCGTGAAACCCTTAAGGCAAAAGAGGAGGACCACCAACACAACTTAGGCTAGTCTAATGGGAAGCTAGGCAGACCACCTCTGCCAAGTAAGCGAGTATTCACTAAGAAAACAAGGAAAAAAAAAAAATTACCCCGAAGCAACACACACACACAAATCAACCGGTCCACAGAGAGAATCATTGGCCGCAGTGCGCCCCACCCAGCAAAAACGCACTCCCTACCCGGGACAAGACGGGAAGCCCAAGACCCCTGGCAGACCTCAAGGGTGAGAACAACACCAAGCGATGAAGCACTCAAACAGGAGTGTAATCCGAACATCTCAGGGGAAGGTAACCCTGACACACAAGGGAAGTATTTACCGAAAGTATTTTCATGCTACGTCGTTCATTTTGATATCAAATTGTTCACAATAGAATTCTCTAAATTACTACAGTGGAATCTTGAGTGAGGAGCAGCTCCATCTACAAGCATTTCGAGTAACGAGCGAGCCACTCACCAAAAAGATGTCTCGATTGACGAGCTTTCGTTCGATTAAACGAAAAAACCACATGGTGCTCCCTAACGTTCTCGCAAATTCTCAGACGCCTCCGACAACAGTGTTCTAGTTGTATTGCTCAGGACAAGCATCCCTCTTCATATATTTGTACTTTTTTTTTTAACTTGAAAAACCAGAGAATCAAAATTAATTTTAAAATTGAACGTTGAAAATTTAGATTTTCAATTCAGAATAAAACATATGAACTATCATTAATTGTTCATTTAATGTTATTATTCTCTCTGAATAGCATATGATCTTCATTTTCATTTAATGAGAATATAGGTTTTTAGTATAGTTTACTGTAAAAAAGATCGTCTATAGGACATTTGAAATATGCGGCAAATTTAGACCAAAAAAAATTATAACTCCAAATATATAAAGTTTGTAAAAAATCCATTCTGATGTGATTGTAGAACAGACAGCAGAGCACACAATATGTCAAAATAGTGACAATCAGTTTTAATAACTGAAATTTTAGAAGCCACTCAAAGTTGAAACTCTGGTTTCAGAGTTAATTGAAGTTCAAGTTATCAACAATGAATAAAGGTAGTTTTAATTCGTTAATTTAATTGTATGTTTTAATAAAAATTGTTTGGCATTCATACTCGAATATGTGAAAGTTGTAGGTCAATATGTGTTGAAATGAAGTTAAGAAAAAATAACTACCAAAAAACACAAAATATAGGGATAATTATAATAAATATAATGATTTAGGGGTACATTTAAGATATCCTTTATATAAGTGAAAAAGCCCTAATATAGTCCCTAATCATCAAAACAACCTAAAGAGACAAAGAAAATAGAGTTTGAAATCAGAGAAAAATCAGCCACAAAAAATTAAAAGTACCAAGTTTTGCTAATTGTGACTGACTTATTTGTTGACCAATTTCATTCTATCTTCACATAGTTATGAAAACATATGCATTCTCCAGGATGTAAAAGTTAAAACAAAATCAGATAATAAACAAAGGAGAAAAAAACAAGCGTTGAATGTAATGAAACGCCATTTTCTGGGTGAGACCCAGAGGCTCCCTGGAGCTTTACCAGGCTAATATGCTAATGTCAGACTTTGGCATCAGTCATGTGTATGGAGTTCTAGGGCCTACCAGGGACCATGGCCAGAACCGGGCCCCCTCAGAGAGGCAAGGGGAGCAATGGCCTATAGAAGCCCCCGTGTGGTTGGAAGCATTCTATGTCTGCCATCGGCCGGAACAGGCACCCAGAAAGGTAAGCGCCTCAAAACAAACCCCCTATTCTGGTTAAAATTGCTACCAAAAACCGAACTAGTGGATAGAACTCTCCAACCGAAAACAAGCAAACTAGTGTGACGTCACACACCGCCGCGCCGCTGTCTGCGCAGCTCCCCCCTCCCCGGGAGGGGGAAGGGGGAGCCCCAGACCCCCCGCGCCGGCTACCCACACCTCAGTTCTTGAGGCTGGATGTCAAAAAAGCGAAAAATCGCCGACCGGAGGGAGGGAGGGATGCTGGGGAGCCTCCGGGACTCACCCAGAAAATGGCGTTTCATTACATTCAACGTTGGTTTTCTGGGGGGAGCCCCGTCGGCTCCCCGGAGCTAACTACCCACAGACAGAAAAAAGAGGGACTTACCCGGGAGGCGGTCGTCGCTCACTCCTCAACTCGAAGCCGAGACAACTGGCTGCAACCGCCGACCCAAAGCAACACAGGCCCGACGAGGCCCAGGGACATTCACAAGGTAACGAGCAGCCAGGACCCTGTTCGACCGCCCGAATATCAGACCAAGACATATTCCCAAAGACGGCAGCAAGAGCCGCGAACTTACGAACGTCATGGGCACAGGGATAGACCGCAGGCTGGCTGGACGTAATAACCCTGCGGACAACCTGAGAGACCCGAACCCGCGAACAGGGAAGAAGGGAAACCGGATCAACCCACAGCGCGTCCCCGGACACAGAAGCTGTGGCACGCAAATAACGGCGAAGCGCTGCAACCGGACACAAAACATGATGCACCCCCGGCCTGACCAACCAAGCATCAACCACCCATGGACCCCTCCAGAACGCAGCAGTCTCATTCTTCGCCAGAAAAGAAGGAGACGGCTGCAAACGAACAAAACAATCACCACGACCAAAAGAGCAGAAACCCCTGTGCCAGGGGAGAGCATGAAGCTCTCCTACCCGACCCCCAGAGGCCAAAGCCAACAAGAAAAGTGCCTTGGAAAAACAACGAAACGAGGAGATGAAAGGAAAGCGAGCACTCTGTCCAAAGACCAGGACGGCTCAGGCAACGCATGAGCAGGCCGGAGGTGAAACAATGCACGAGACAGCTTGCGAAACGGCGCAAACGTAACATCGATACCGAAAGCAAGCTGAAGCGGCTCTGCCAGCGCCGCACGATACGAAGCGACAGTGTTAGGCATAAGATGACGGTCCTGAAACAACCACGAGAGGAAGGACAAGACCACCCGAACAGACAAGGAACTAACACGACGAAGACGCAAAAAGAAACGGAAGGACCGCCAGGAAACTTCATACTGCCGCCAAGAAGAAGCCCTCAGGTGGGACACCAACAAGGATGCCACCTGATCACCATAGAGATGATGATAGACTCGAGTCAAAAAAACCATACGCGAAGACTCGAGGAGAAGATCGAACCAGCCACGTGACGTACCGGCCCGATCTGCTGAAAGAGGCGGAGCCGCGGGAAAACCCTCGGGTTCGGACACCGAGCAACCAGCGCCTGAAACCAAGGCTGGGCCGGCCACCAAGGGGCCAGAAGGACAACTCTCCCCTGGTAAATCTCTAAGCGAGTCAGGACCTGGAGCAACAGCCGAACCGGGGGAAAGAGGTACAGGAACCCCCACCTCGACCAGTCTAGCCGAAAAGCATCGACCCCGATGGCCTCGCAATCGGGGAAGGGCGCCGCATAAACGGGAAGACGCCGCGACCACGCCGACGCGAAGAGGTCCACTTCGGGGCGCCCGAACGTCTGGCAAAGCCAACGGACGGACTCGTCGTCGACCGTCCACTCCGTGGAGAGGGGAACGAAGCGAGACAGGGCGTCGGCCAAGACGTTGGACACGCTCCGTACGTGAACCGCCAGGAGAGCCAAACCCCGAGAACTCAGCAGACGAGTCACCCGAGGCGACCAACCCCAAAGAGACAAGGACCGCATCGAACCCCCGCGGTTCAGGCAATGAACCACTGGAGAGCAGTCCGAATGGAGCCGAATCGTCGATCCGCGGGCCACCCGAATCCTCCCCAGAGCAAACCACACTGCCGCGAACTCCCGCACCGTGCTGTGAGCTCGACGGAAGGACGGATCCCAACGCCCCTGGCCGGCCTGGTGAGCACTGGTCACAAAACCCCAGCCGAGAGACGACGCATCCGTGTACACATCGAGCGAGGGCTCGGGTAGGCGCCAAGGCACTGAACCCCGAAAAACCCGAAGAGGAAGCCGGTGACGCAGCAACCGACGCAAGGCCCCTGGGGGTCGAACTCTGCGATCGCGAGAGAGGCGAAAGGGGGGAACCCCGAAGGAACCAGAACAGCCGTCAAAGCCAAATCCGACCCGGCGGGTAGACCACCATCGCGAAGTTCAGGCTCCCGCACAGCCCCTCGAGCAACTGCCGGGTGACCCGAGGGCCTTCCAGAAACAGCCGAAGGCGGGACCGCAGCCGCAGGAGAGACTCCGGAGGGAGAGACAAGGAGGCGGTTCGAGAATCCCAAACGAGACCCAGCCAAGTCCGAACCTGAGAGGGAACCAGATGGGACTTCCTCCAGTTCACCAAGAACCCGAACTCGGCGAGCTGGGAAAGAACCAAATCCCTGGCTAGCAAGCAAGCTGACTGGCTGGGAGCCCAAACCAGCCAGTCGTCGAGGTAGGCCAACACCCGAACACCTAGGAGACGCAAACGAGCCACCACAACCCGTGTTAGGCGCGTGAAAATGCGAGGTGCCAGGTTCAACCCGAACGGGAGACAACGAAAGCGGTAACTCAGACGCCCCACAACAAAACCAAGCCAGTCCCTGAACCGCGGATGAATCGGGACATGCCAATAAGCGTCCCGGAGGTCCAGGGGCACCATCCAAGCTCCTGGCTCAAAGAGGAGCCGAACCTGAGACAGCGTAGTCATCCGAAAGGAGGGGCAATGAACCCAGGGGTTCAGACGGGACAAGTCCAGAATGAACCGCAGGTCCGCGCAGTCCCGTTTCGGAACCGGAAACAGACGAGA